GTTAAAGTATGGGGTTGAGGGATATAGCAAGTTTCTGGTGTCCCACGACCAGGTATATTTCCCGAGGCGAAGCCTAGGGAAATAGGCATGGTCAAGGGACACCAGAAACTTGCTATATCCCTCAACCCGATACTTTAACCGTTTTATTATACCGATACACACTGCAGAAATAGTTTTAACTTGAAAATATTTGTAAACCATAAGCTGTATAGTTTCACAACCCAACTACCCCTTTGATGGCAAAGGAGCCAAATGCTTCCGAGTTCGGTAGCAAGCTCCGCCCACCTTGTGCGTCGCCTACGAGTTCGGTAGCAAGCTCCGCCCACCTCGCGCGTCGATTCAAGGTTCGGTTACAAGCTCCGCCCACCTCTCGCCTGATTGGTTCGGCAGAAACACCCGAGTGTAGGTGTGTTTTTGTTCCCAGACTAACACACAGGGCTAAAACACAGTCAGGCAAAAGTGGGGATATATTCGATTTAACTAATTACTTTTATATAGAGTAAATAAAGTAGAGGTATAATAAATATATATAGTGACCACCTCTACATGATGTCCCCCTCTATATAACAGATTTATAGTGACCACCTCTACATGATGACCCCTCTATATAACAGATTTTTAGTGACCACCTCTACATGATGTCCCCTCTGTATAACAGATTTTTAGTGACCACCTCTACATGATGTCCCCTCTGTATAACAGATTTATAGTGACCACCTATACATGATGTCCCCTCTGTATAACAGATTTATAGTGACCACCTCTACATGATGACCCCTCTATATAACAGATTTTTAGTGACCACCTCTACATGATGTCCCCTCTGTATAACAGATTTATAGTGACCACCTATACATGATGTCCCCTCTGTATAACAGATTTATAGTGACCACCTCTACATGATGTCCCCTCTGTATAACAGATTTTTAGTGACCACCTCTACATGATGTCCCCTCTGTATAACAGATTTATAGTGACCACCTATACATGATGTCCCCTCTGTATAACAGATTTATAGTGACCACCTATACATGATGTCCCCTCTGTATAACAGATTTATAGTGACCACCTCTACATGATGTCCTCTCTGTATAACAGATTTTTAGTGACCACCTCTACATGATGTCCCCTCTGTATAACAGATTTATAGTGACCACCTATACATGATGTCCCCTCTGTATAACAGATTTATAGTGACCACCTCTACATGATGTCCCCTCTATGTAACAGATTTATAGTGACCACCTCTACATGATGTCCCCTCTGTATAACAGATTTATAGTGACCACCTCTAAATATATATATATTATATACTGGTATTTATCAATAGGATGTGCCCTTAATTCAGTACAATTATTTTCTAAATTTATCTCCTTAACTGACCACTCATCTATACTGGTCCTGTAAAGATAACCTCTTTGTACTCTAAATGTCTAACTCCTTAAGAGGCCACTTATCTGATCTAAATTTGGTACCGGCTCTCTAAAGATAACATATCCTTCTTTTCTAAATACATCTCCAAAATCGACCCCTCAACTCATCTAAATGTAGCACCCTTCTACTTCAAATAAAACTCCCTAACTGACCTCTAAACTCATCTAAATATACACTGGTCCTCTAAAGATAGCGCCTTTCTAGCTACATTGTACTTCAACTAAAATTCCCTAACTGACCTCTGAACTTATCTTAATATACACTGGTCCCTATACACTGGTCCTCTAAAGATAGCACACTTCTGCTCTAAATATAACTCCCTAACTGACCCCTAAACTCATCTAAATGTAGCACCCTTCTACTCTAAATATAACTCCCTAAACTCATCTAAATATACACTGTTCCTCTAAAGAAAATACCCTTCTACTCTAAATATAACTCCCTGTACTGACCTCTCATCTCATCGAAATATATTCTTGTCTAATAATTAAAGATAAAATCTTACTACCCAACAGTTGAACTGTAAATAAACCCTTCAAACTTGCTGGTCTTATAGTGTAGATAACATACAATATGACCTAGCTATTTACTAATTTTGTGATGTATGGGCCCCTTGTCTAAGTTGAGTTAGTATAGAATGTATCTGCATATTGCACAAGTGCAGGTCGATAACAAATAGCACCTTGTTTCCAGCTGTAGCATAGGTGTGTATTTGGTTATCGACCTGTGGGTACACATTGCAATTGTTCAATACCAAATCTGTACTTCCTTGATCATGCAAGTATGAAAAACAAGTTTTAAAGTTCTAAAAGCAAAACATCAAAACCTGAAAACGATGAAATAAATTTTGAAATATGTTTCATTTCATTAATTTGTTACATTTTAATACATGTACAATGATATGCAGTTGTTAAGGTTTCATCAATTGCAATGGATTTGTTCTATTTGTGTGATAGACATTTCATTATAACCAGACACAAGATTTTTCTACTTAATAATATATGTATAAAGGTCTAAAAGTCATAATGACAGTATGGCCCAATTTATGGACACTATATCGGAATAGATGGGTGCATATTACTTAGTTATATATACGCAAAGAAGAATTTATAAACAACAGTGCAGACAGAAGAATTTGCCAATTTCGGAGCAATCAATTTCAAATTTGTTCTAATATAAATAATGTCATTTATTCTGTGTTATCTTGTTAAAGGGACTCATCATACTTTAAAACGATGCTTTAACTCATTCACTCCTTAAGACACATTTGAACTCTTCCAATTCAAATGTTGGAATAGTTCATTATGAAATTTCAGGGGTGAATGATTAAGTCAGATATCAGACCTTAGTGGTAGTATTGACTATAAACCATTATCTTTGCTGATAAAAGATTATAACATTTCTCTATAGCTATCACTTCTCATACAGATAATAAAACTATTGATCATGATGCACTTATTATATATATTGTCTTACAGTAACAGCAAATCCTTACCGCAAAATAAATAAATCTTCAAAATGATATGCAGTTGTTAAGGAATTTAGTTATTAAGAACGCTTAGCTGGCAGAAGGAAAAAGAGTTAGATTACAAGATCAGCTCAGGTGATGGCGTTAAAGAATGTGAAGAATTTCTAGCCTGTTACCGGTATCATAAGTCACTCAAACTTTTGATGGTAAAAATGTCTGACTACAGACCCACTCAGAATGTGTTTAAAAGGTTAAATAAGTGAAGCAGACATTATTACCAACTTGCTCAGTGATAGTTAAATGTTTCCCCTTTAAAATGAAGGAAGATATATACATCTTGTATTAGTACTGGTTCTTTTAAATTCAATTAGCAACTTGCCCAGCCCAGGAATGTTAAACTGTGAAGTATTCCTGCATTACCTACACAGGGTATATACACTGCTCTAGCATCACATTGTAGGTCACTGTGACATTCATGTTAGGGTCCAAGGTCAGATATATTTGCAAACTTTCAGTAAATTCTTTTCTTTAATGTAAATTTTATTTAAACATATCAAAAGAAAGTAGTACAGTGGAATTAGGTCACAGTGACCTCCTTGTTAAGGTCAAGGTAAAAGGTCAAATAAGAGAAAATATATCAGGAAATTCTGGTCCTTGCTGTATATTTTAGACTGAGGAAGATATCTTGATGAAACTTAAACTTTATCACCAACAGAAGGTGTGCATTATGCTGTAATTATGTCACAGTGACCTTCACCTCAAGGTCAAAGGTCAAGCATATCTTGATAAAACTTAAAAGGACAATCCCAGCTAGTAATGAGTTCAAGAATGATGTTAAAATGCAATGCTATCCAGCTTTTATTTCTAGAAGAATAAGAAGTTGACAACATGCATGTTTTTGATAAGAAAATGTTTTCAACCTGCTGTATTGATGTGACAACCGATTTTGTTTTGTTTATTTCAGACACATTTTAAGATCTCCTATAGGAAGTCGACAGAGTTTCAAGGCTACCTGTAAGTATAACACTGGTTACTGTTTTAGTAACACATTCAAGGACTCCAATCTTTGTGGAGGGTATGGAGGCCAGTAAAGACCTAGAGACACCTGTGAATTCTGATCTGCGTAGAGTTAAGTGGTACAACCATTGAATGCCAGTTGTAAAGCCCCGGCTACCTTTTTCTGTGAAGATATATGTATGCGTTTGTATGCTTGCATAATTGAGAGAAAACTTCAAAGAATAAAAGGTTTTTGAGTTTGTAAGTAGAAGAAATTGTGTCTCTCAGGAAGTGGGGAACATAACTTTCATTTTGATTGGCCTTTTTGTAACAAAAGATTGGATCGATGACAAACAAATCTGGGTAACGTTACTGCACTCGCAGATTTATAACAACATGCTCAACTTTTACGCTGCCATATATGTTTTAGGAGGGTGGCATATTGCCAATATTTTCATGAGTGTGAAGCAATTTAAAAATATATTGAGGTAGTTCAGCCAGATGATTGAAATATGTACGGTATATGTTCAAGCATGGAACCAATATATTTCTATTTATTTTATGATCGGTACTAAATAAGTACCAGTTTCTTTTGGAAAATAATATAACATTTGAAAAAGTACTTAAGATATCAGTTTCATTATGCTGATAAAATACACTTTATTTCACTTGTAAAATGTAGTTAGTGCTTTTGTTTTAGACCTATTTCTGATAAGGGAATTCATTGTCATATTGGTATACTTAGAACTGAAATATTCATATAACTGTCAATTCCCTTTCAGTTAAGTGTAAAGGCTCCCCTGATCCGCCACAGAGTTTCAGTATGGGAAAGATAAAAATGCTTATGATTATCATTCCAGTATAAGTAATTAAAACTTCTCAATAAATATCTATAGAATACCACTCAGCATATAAAAAATCCATTTTTATTTGCGCATCTTAAATGTTGGTTGATCAACTCGAACATATATTAAAGTGACAGCTACAAATACTTGGTCTTCATTTGTACAAAATACAAACTTGATAAAAATAAAACATAACATCAAATAATTGGGAGGTAACTAAGTTCATGACAAGCAAGGATATTTCAAGGGGAGGTAACTAAGTTCATGACAAGCATGGATACTTCAAGGGGAGGTAACTTAGTTCATGACAAGCAGGGATATTTCAAGGGGCGGTAACTAAGTTCATGACAAGCAGGGATATTTCAAGGGGCGGTAACTAAGTTCATGACAAGCAGGGATATTTCAAGGGGCGGTAACTAAGTTCATGACAAGCAGGGATATTTCAAGGGGCGGTAACTAAGTTCATGACAAGCAGGGATATTTCAAGGGGCGGTAACTAAGTTCATGACAAGCAGGGATATTTCAAGGGGCGGTAACTAAGTTCATGACAAGCAGGGATATTTCAAGGGGCGGTAACTAAGTTCATGACAAGCAGGGATATTTCAAGGGGCGGTAACTAAGTTCATGACAAGCAGGGATATTTCAAGGGGCGGTAACTAAGTTCATGACAAGCAGGGATATTTCAAGGGGAGGTAACTAAGTTCATGACAAGCAGGGATATTTCAAGGGGAGGTAACTAAGTTCATGACAAGCAGGGATACTTCAAGGGAAGGTAACTTAGTTCATGGCAAGCAGGGATACTTCAAGTGGAGATAACTAAGTTCATGACAAGCAGGGATATTTCAAGGGGAGATAACTAAGTTCATGACAAGCAGGGCTATTTTACTGGGAGGTACGTATACCTAAGTTCAAGACAAGCAGGGACATTTCAAAGGGAGGTAACTGTTTATGACAAGCAGGGATATTTTTTAGAGAAGTAGCAATGACAAGCAGATACTTCAATTGATCGAGTTATATATATCTGCACTACAAGCAGAAAATTTTGAGGGAAATAACAATGTAAATGAGACATTTCAGGGGCAGAAATATAACTAATAACAAGCAGAGACCTCTCATTGGAACTATCTTTGACTAGCAGAGATATTTTATTTTGAGAGAAGAAGCTCTGACAAACAAGAGATTTTTCAACGGAGATAACTGTGTAAATGACAAGCAGTTATATTTAAAGGGAGATATAACAGTGTTTATAACAAGCAGAAACATTTCAGAGGAACTATCTCTTAAAAAATAGATGGTGAAACTATTCCGAGACAGAGACAGAGACATTTAGAAGAAAGTATATCTTAAGGAGAAACGGAAACTTTTGAAATGTCAGGTATGCAGACCGGCACACTATGTATATAGGTTAATGAGGGGCGGATAGAGTTTAGTGATGAAAGGTTTTGGAGGGTGGGTTAATTGATGGGAGAACAGTCTAGACTCTACACAGTACATATACATGGCTGGCTTTACAGACTGACCCTGAGTACTTTAGTGGTGGCGTTATCAGGTTCCACCAACAGCAACCCATAGCCAACTGCCAGCTTTTGAAGATACATGCAGAGTTTAGTGATATAAAGCTTCAAGGATAAATAGTCTATAGCTGTCAAAATCAACATCGGATCAAATATACAATGTTTATTGAACTTTTCTTAGTAAGATAAACATTTTAGCTTATCTAAGCTGAAGACACATATTTGATTTCTTAAAATGGGCCAATTTTTTTATAAGGCCAAATGAAATAATTTTTGGTTTTCTGTTATCAGGTACTCTGAGATATCTTTTGGTTGTTAGAAAGGGAATTAAATTGTTTTTTCTTTTTTTATGAGTCTAGAGAGTCATTTATTGTCCACATTTAAAATCAAATGGCTTAAATTGCTTTATATTTTTGAAATCTAAATTGTTTTCCATATAAAATTAATCGTATTCCAGACTATACCTTGGCTCTAACAGCACATTTTTAGCCCTCTAATAATGTTTCTGAATATCTTAAAACTATCTGACCATGTAGCTGTATATAGATACATGTACTTACATGTCATACAGATTTTAACATTTTTTTTCGTTCATTTCCTCTTGGTATGTTACATTGTGTCATTATTTATAAGTGTCCCTTATTATGTTGCCCTCTACGTTGCCTGGCCAAGCACGATTTTACTGTTGCTGGCCCATTAAGAAATTAACATTTTAACAACAATGTAACTGAACTTATTTAGCAGAGATCTGCTTGGAAATGTAAGTGAGTTTGTAATGTCTATTGGTCACACATACAGTACCATTGCCAGAAAGGCGATCAAGGTTTGCAGTTGTACATACTTTCAAATGTCTGCCGTCCTATCATTTTGTTGCACCAGGCATCAATTTCTGTATTTTAATTGACAAAGCATACTGATTCTGCTTATACCACAGACTTTTCTTCTACTTATAATTAATTAGGACAACGCTAGTTTTTGAATTCACTGATGTAGAATATGGTTAAACACATTCACATCAGGTATCCAATTTTGAAAAACTGTTTTCTAACAGAGCACGAGAAATATGGACAGACTGTACCTCAAAAACCCAGGCAGATGATGCTAACAGCAGGAAATATGCAAAAAAAAAAATCCCTTGAAAAAAAAGGAGACAAGGAGTGTGCAGAGCCTGTGTTGGGTCCTTGTTGTACTGACGTAACCTTCTGCAATACTGAATGCATTATTTATAAGCAACAAAAGGAAATCAGGTTGGGCTGAACCTTTAACATAGCAGAGGCCGTAACTTTTGTAGTTGGGTGCATAAAAAGAGCTAACTTACAAAGTAGCTGAAGATGCATGGAGTGGATCATTATCGACGGGAACCTTAGGGTCCTTGTTACAGTGCCGCGCTCCCGTTGTTTGACAAGGCCGGCATGTTACGCCTAACAGACGCAGCAGTTGCACAAAGGGATATATAATTATTACAAAATTCCATACGCTGTCTGGATTCAAATAAATAGCGCTAATGAGTCAGAACAGACCACTGTTCCATCAGTACGAATGATTTACCAAGAAACTGACAAATTTGTCTAGAATTTAGGCCATATATCAGACCATGTGTTGTTTAACTGTTAACGATAACTAAATGGCAAAAATTACCACAGACAGGTCTAGGGATGTAGGACTAGAACAGGCAGAAAAAAGCCTTGAGAATCGAGGTCTTCAGCTAGAATACGAGTTCAGAGACTATTTCCCTGACTGATTATTATGGCGTCCTATATTGTACATATATATAAGAATTTCTCCATTGGTTGTGCAAAAATATATTAATCATTCTAAATTTTTATACTTAATGGAAAAAAAAATATCTTAAGAATTTCATTAAATCTTTAAAAACAATTAATGTAATTTCAGGTTATATTAAAAATACAATTACACCTCAGTGTTAGCTTGTATAACTATTAAATTACAATTACACCTCAGTGTTAGCTTGTATAACTATTAAATTACAATTACACCTCAGTGTTAGCTTGTATAACTATTAAATTACAATTATATATATATATACATTCCTCAGGGATAAGATGTTAGGGTACCTTGTGACCTTATTGAACTGGCAGGCCAGCTGTCACTCTATTTAAGGATGTATGCTAGCTACTGTAATGTGTCATATATTACCTCCTTTAATTTACAACAGAGCTCCACAGAAAGGCAAATTTATTAAATATAATAGATAAATGAGTTGTAGTAAACTGAAATAGGTATATTAATAAGCATTTTAATGCAATGAATATACTATGAATTCCTACATATTGGTAACACAGAGTTGAAATAATGCTCAGAGGTTCGGAGGTACCTGGTTCGAACCCTGGTCTGGCTGTACTTTCTTTTCAATCCTACTGTATTTATACCCCCACAACGAAGTTAGGGGGGGGTTACTGGAATCACCCTGTCTGGATATCTGTCTGTCGTCCGTAGTAACTTGTCTGGAGAACTTCTCCTAAATTAATAAGTGGATTTCATTGAAACTTTGCAAGAATGATTGGTATCTTATTTAGTTGTACACCAGCATTGTAATTTGGATTTCGACTCTTTTTGATGGAGTTATGCCCCTTTGAGCGAAATACTTGTCCGTGCAACTTCTCCTTAACTAACTGGTGATTTCATTAAAACTTTTCATGAATGATCAGTATCTTATGATGTTGTGCACTGGCATTTAAATTTGGGATTTCAACCCTTTTTGATAGAGTTATAGCCCTTTGTGCAAAATACTTGTTGATTTTTTTGTTTTTGATAAAATAGTGATTAACTTATTACTGGTGGAAGACTATATCGCTTTGCATAAGTAAGCCTTTAGCTTACAGTTCTGGTTTATATAGGAGCGGGGGTATTAGTTAGCCTTTGGCTTACAGTTCTAGATGGTGCCTGTGACTACCTGTAAATAATGATGCCTTCTGGGGCGAAGACTTCCTGATTGGAGATCAGAGGGGACATTATAATGACTTCTGTCTGTTCCACGTTGCTGTTTCTGCACAATTTTTTAAATTGAGTTTAAGAAGGTTCAGCAAACTCAGACTTCATTCAAGACTTCCTTTCTAGAAAACCCCTACAGGTTGGGGATTGAGAAAAGCATAGATAGTGATGTTTACCCTTTGCAGGCTGTATGAGGCACCTAATGAGGGACCCCCTGCAGAGATTTGTCATTATAGTGCCCTCTACTTGGGGACACAAAAATGATCGACATTAATTTGCTGCACCCATTGCAACTTAATTTTTTTTTAAATAATGTTTCCTAGCCCTTTGTTTGACAATTTCTCACTTTTGGCTATGGTTGTGAATGATCCTCCAAATTGGGAAGGCAAAGGGTTCTGTCCCCTGGGCAGGTTGGGACTTACCCCAAAGTCTTTAAAAATGGCAGTTATTATCTTCTGCTAAATGTTTTATCATTAAGGGGATCCGCAACAACTGGTTAATCTGTTGTCAATGAAATGTGACCAGGTGAAATACAATGCTTCAGTGAGATAGCACTCTAAAGTTGACATCATATGCACGCTTTTGTAAGAAGGCAAATACACCAACATACCCTGCCTCCAGATTAAATGCACACATACACGCATGGACGCATGCATTACAACCAAGGAGGCACCACTTCCTTAACCCCTTCACCACTGTAGACCATAATGGACCCCTCCATATCAATGCATGGTAGAGTCTACTGAAGTTACATAGGGGTGAAAGGGTTAAATGACCTTAGCTATTTTAATATGGTGCTAATAAATCCCAAAAATAGATCAAACCTCTCCAGAATTGCTTACTTGGGATGGCTTTTCAGAGACAAGATTTGAAAGGCACATTCAGTGAGTGTTAATTTCCATTCTCTTTTCACTCCATTTGGTTCCATTTCATATGTCAACTGAAATGCTAAAATAAAGCCATGTCCTTCATCGACTTTGGAACACTGATTGGGGATTATAAGAATTGCTTCTGGTGATACCTTGATTTCTGATACCTTTCCTAAGTATTTTTTTCGTTTTACAGATACAAGGGAGAGGCTGTGTATGCTGCTAAACCTAAAGTTGTGTTCGACTACGTGGAACCTCTACCTAACGGACACCGCGCGAAATGGGATAAAAACATGAAGAAAATAGAAATCATCAAACAAATGGAAAACGTAGGCATTATTTATGTGATTTAAGACAGGATACTATCAACATCAATTTTCTTCTCCAGCATAGATATTTAATATGAACATAGTTTTGACCATGAATTCAATTTTTGATGCCCCAAATCCCTCCCAGTTTTGCATCAGAACAAGGGAGATAATTTTTTATTTTTCAGTCAGATCAGAGGCCTGAGGCTACATTTTATCCTTCTCGTCTGCCCATCCCAAGGTCGGAGTCAGTCATATTTATGAAGGTTTGGGGGGAAAAGGAAAATCTAATTCCAGTTCTACACATACTTAATTGAAATTTCCCTATCCCCCTATGCTTAGATGTGTTAAACTATAAATACCAAAAAAATACCATGCTGTTTTGTGCTGACTTTGAGATTTGTGAGAAACAGGATGTTGACATCACTCCCTGTGTGGCAGCATTCCTAGAAGGTCAGGGTGGCGTTAAGCACAGTGTTGGGCACCAATTTAAACCAATACATTGAACGCGTAACATAAACATTTATTTCTGGACTGTTATGGACAGTAACGAATACATTTATTTCTGGACTGTCATGGACAGTAACGAATACATTTTCTCGTCCTCTCCCCTATTTGTAACACTCAAACACACAAAACTTCACCAGACTAGTCTGTTGTGAATTTATAGAGATTTATTTTTGTTGCCCAAGCAGTGCTTTGCTTATTTTTGATAGCATATTTATGAGCATAATATTCCCAATATTACTGATAAATTGTGGATTTGAAGTATTCGACTAAGCCTGATGCTAAAAATTGACAATTAATTTTCTTGAAATGGAAAAAAAATAGCACCCTGTGACTAACTAGATAATCTTCATCTTGTTGGGCATTCCCCGGTAAACTTGATACAAAGGCTCCGAGTTGTTAAAATCACCTAGTGATGTTGGATGTCCAATCGATAAGGTGTTAAAGTCTTTAAGCCTATACTTGATGAAGCCACCTTATCATTCAAGGAGTGGCACTCGCCTTTTAAAGCTCCGATCTAAATATAAGCTAGTGTTATGAAACTGTACTCCAACCACCCGAGTGCAGAACAATTTCTGTGAGAAAGATTGCACTTGAATCAATATTACTGTAAAACACTGCTCTGTACGTGGGAAAAATTGTGACCACAGTAGATATATGCTGAACACGGAAAATGAGACGTGGTGAGCCGCCACAATAGTGCACAGTATAAGTCTATAAATGGGAAAGGCCTTTTACATAGATTGGTAGACACGTTTATTGGAGTTATTCACAGGGATTGCAGCGAAATGAAGTCTGTCACTATGGATCTTAGTGAAGTCTGTCACTATGGATCTTATAGTGAAGTCTGTCACTATGGATCTTAGTGAAGTCTGTCACTATGGATCTTATAGTAAACTCTGTCACTGTGGATCTTAGTGAAGTCTGTCACTATGGATGGATCTTAGTGAAGTCTGTCACTATGGATCTTAGTGAAGTCTGTCACTGTGGATCTTAGTGAAGTCTGTCACTATGGATCTTAGTGAAGTCTGTCACTATGGATCTTAGTGAAGTCTGTCACTATGGATCTTAGTGAAGTCTGTCACTATGGATCTTAGTGAAGTCTGTCACTATGGATCTTAGTGAAGTCTGTCACTATGGATCTTAGTGAAGTCTGTCACTATGGATCTTAGTGAAGTCTGTCACTATGGATCTTAGTGAAGTCTGTCACTATGGATCTTAGTGAAGTCTGTCACTATGGATCTTAGTGAAGTCTGTCACTGTGGATCTTAGTGAAGTCTGTCACTATGGATCTTAGTGAAGTCTGTCACTATGGATCTTAGTGAAGTCTGTCACTATGGATCTTAGTGAAGTCTGTCACTATGGATCTTAGTGAAGTCTGTCACTATGGATCTTAGTGAAGTCTGTCACTATGGATCTTAGTGAAGTCTGTCACTATGGATCTTAGTGAAGTCTGTCACTATGGATCTTAGTGAAGTCTGTCACTATGGATCTTAGTGAAGTCTGTCACTATGGATCTTAGTGAAGTCTGTCACTATGGATCTTAGTGAAGTCTGTCACTGTGGATCTTAGTGAAGTCTGTCACTATGGATCTTAGTGAAGTCTGTCACTATGGATCTTATAGTGAAGTCTGTCACTATGTGATCTTAGTGAAGTCTGTCACTATGTGATCTTAGTGAAGTCTGTCACTGTGGATCTTAGTGAAGTCTGTCACTATGTGATCTTAGTGAAGTCTGTCACTATGTGATCTTAGTGAAGTCTGTCACTGTGGATCTTAGTGAAGTCTGTCACTATGTGATCTTAGTGAAGTCTGTCACTATGTGATCTTAGTGAAGTCTGTCACTGTGGATCTTAGTGAAGTCTGTCACTGTGGATCTTAGTGAAGTCTGTCACTATGGATCTTAGTGAAGTCTGTCACTGTGGATCTTAGTGAAGTCTGTCACTGTGGATCTTAGTGAAGTCTGTCACTATGGATCTTAGTGAAGTCTGTCACTATGGATCTTAGTGAAGTCTGTCACTATGGATCTTAGTGAAGTCTGTCACTATGGATCTTAGTGAAGTCTGTCACTATGGATCTTAGTGAAGTCTGTCACTATGGATCTTAGTGAAGTCTGTCACTATGGATCTTAGTGAAGTCTGTCACTATGGATCTTAGTGAAGTCTGTCACTATGGATCTTAGTGAAGTCTGTCACTATGGATCTTAGTGAAGTCTGTCACTATGGATCTTAGTGAAGTCTGTCACTATGGATCTTAGTGAAGTCTGTCACTATGGATCTTAGTGAAGTCTGTCACTATGGATCTTAGTGAAGTCTGTCACTATGGATCTTAGTGAAGTCTGTCACTATGGATCTTAGTGAAGTCTGTCACTATGGATCTTAGTGAAGTCTGTCACTATGGATCTTAGTGAAGTCTGTCACTATGGATCTTAGTGAAGTCTGTCACTGTGGATCTTAGTGAAGTCTGTCACTGTGGATCTTAGTGAAGTCTTTCACTATGGATCTTAGTGAAGTCTGTCACTGTGGATCTTAGTGAAGTCTGTCACTATGGATCTTAGTGAAGTCTGTCACTATGGATCTTAGTGAAGTCTGTCATTGTTGGAGACATTAACGTTAAGGATTGCAGATTATGTTTAGCCTGTCATTTGAAGACATTAATAAGGCAGTCAAAATTGATAATCGGTTTGTAATAAGAAGTCTAGTAGACCATTACATGACAGATTGAATAATCAGTTTATAATTTAAGGGGACTGAATACCCAAATAAGGTGAGAACACTACTGTAAACTATACATTAGTGTTCGTTCTTTTAAAATGAATGGATTTCAAGAACCTTTTATGCAGTTGACTTTCAATGTATACATTACATTATATACATTTGACACTTTGATTTCAATGATGAACCGATTATAACAATTTTGGAATTTGAAATAAAAAATCGGAATTGGAAAGGCCAAACAATTATTTTTTATTGTAATCTATCATCAACCCATCCCTAGTTAATTGTTCTTTCCACGACAAGAAAACAACTTCTAGCGTACCTGGTCCACAGGGCCAATTAAATGAGCTTCTGTGGTGGTGCAGCGTCTATCATCCATACTGTCCAGTTTTTTTACTTTAAATAAAAAGCCTTTGATGATGACTTAACTTTTTCTGAATAACCAGAATTCAAGAGACCAGGCCAGACCAGGCCAGGCCAGACCAAAAGTATTGAAGGGCTATCGAGTTTGTTCAAATGAATGACCTTAACCCATTTTCAAAGTCACAGGGATCAAATTTGTTAAAACCTTTGAACATCTCCTGAATAACTTGACAGTGGCCTGTTAGGGTGAATATAAACTTGAAATTTGTTCAGTTGAGTGACCTTGACCCTCAATCAATGCCAAAGAAATCAAGTATTTCAAAAGTTTTAAACAACCTTTCCAAGAGGCATAGGTTAGAAAGTTGGAATAAAAGGCTGACAAGTGATTGGTCTCTTGCTCCATATCTGTCAAATATACTATTAAGCAGGGTTATATTTATAAAGATAACTATCATAAACCAACTTTTCAGTCAGGGAAACAATTGTATACAGTATATTTAAATTTATATAAACAAATTCAAGAACTTCAAATAAACTGAGTAAAATGTTTATAATTCATAGATTTATTTAGACTCTAGAGTATCATTTGTTGGCAATGCTTTCAGTGTGGAGATAACAGTGTCCTGTAAGACACGTTTAGTTTTTACAGATATTTCTCGTTGAGTTCCATTTTCGTTGGTTAATAACACCAGGGTGTCGAGCCGAATTTCACAACTTTGATATTATTATTGAAATTTAAATTATCAGAGGTGGGAAGCGGAGTATGCCTTGGATTTAATGAACGACCATTTCGTGGAAGTGGAAGCTGGGATCCCAGCTGATACGGTTTTATAAGCCAACTATCAGAGCTTTTGCCACAGAATCATTTGCAGCAAAACCATAATTTCACACACAGGTTTGATAACATCAAGTATTTCTCACAGGAAGTTGAAACATGTTGAACAGGCTCTCTGCCTTCACCTGATACGTATCAACTTCGCCAGTAGCAAGGAATCCCTATGTGTTTTATGTCGGCTTTATCAGGAGGGTAGCAGCACTCGTTAGCCATGCATAAGAATTGAAGGATATATATAGTGGAATTTTATCCAAGAACTCCTACGCAAAGTATTATGTATTGAATAATGTGCGATAACTCTTATCCACCCAATCAAGCGACATGCACTGTGCTGCACTTGAATATAGTATAGAGTACAAAAATTGGGGGAAACATTCAGTTACCCCCAAAATTGACACATTACACATCATCGAGTACATGAATTAGGGGGAGTATATCCCACAGTACTCGCACATTACACAACATCGAGTACATGAATTAGGGGGAGTATATCCCACAGTACTCACACATTACACAGCATCGAGTACATGAATTAGGGGGAGTATATCCCACAGTACTCACACATTACACAGCATCGAGTACATGAATTAGGGGGAGTATA